AGTATGTTTTGGACCAATGCTGTGGGGATTCTGGGATTTGCAGTTTGTTGTGGAACCAGAACTCTGACAGAGTTGCAAAACTACAGTTCCCAGAATTCCATAGTATTGAGCCATGGCATCTAAAGCAGTGCCAAATTGGATTATTTCTGCAGTACGGATATAGCCTTAGACAGATTTTTAGGAAGAGGTCAAAAGGGATTCAGTTGCAAGTCATCAGTTGCATGAAGGCCTCTACAGAAAGCAGTTGATTTAATGCCATTTAGATAATATTCCAGGCATTCAGCAAGTTGCAAACCTCGCTAGGAAAATTCATAACTCGGGTATACACTTAAGTAATTAGTATCTGAATTCATCAGAAATACGGAGACGATCACTCTCTTAAGAGCAGACTTGAAAGCATAAGATTAGGACAACATGAACCCTTAGCCATGCCGATGTTTCCTGCCCTCGGGGTCCAAAATGGCACCCTTTCCTCATGCAAAAGCATGAAGCCTTTGGAGAATGGAGGCCTTTGTAGAAAGCAAGGAAAGACTGGCTTAGCCATCATGACACACTTGCAATTTCTTCGTGTTCCTGTTCTGTGTGCACACACTTGCCAAGTTGGAAGAAGGGGAGAGAAGAGGAAAACAGCATTAAGGCAATGTTGCATTGAGTTTAGAGTTCTGCGTTTTGGGTGACCCATGGTCAGAGGGAAAATTAAAAATTAAAGCGATGTCAACCTGGATTCTTTCTGCCGTGCGGATGCAGCCAACATTTGCCATCTTGCTTTCAGCAGATTATAGTTCTCTACATAAATTCTGCTATTGAAAGCAAAATCTTGCAGTGGCACACTTGGGCTGCATCCGCAGAGCAAAAATGATCCAGTCTGATACCGCTTTAACTGCCTCGACTCCATGCTATGAGATCCTGGGCTTTGTAGTTTCTTGTGAGCTCTCAGACAGAGAAGACAAAATGTCCCCCAAAACTACAATTCTATAGCATGGCAGCCATCGCAGTTAAAGTGGTGTCAAACTGGATTATTTCTGCAGTGCAGATGCAGCCTCAGTTTTCTTTGAGGATCCCGTTTCTTTATTTAATTGGAGGCCTGGATCCCATCGGTGGCTGCATCCGCACTGCAGAAATAATGGCATGGAAGTGGGCTTATGCCAAGGATCTGTTACTTCTCCTTCCAAACCTGAAGCTCTTGTTGCTGATATAATGTTCTGCTTCACCTGGAATCCTGTGTCCAGTTTTGGACACTGCAGTTCAAGAAGGATATTGATAAGTTCAAGAAGGATTGATGTCCAGCGAGGGTGACCAGGATGATCAAAGATTTGGAAAACAAGCCCTGGGAGGAACATCTTAGATATGTTCAGCTTGGAGAGAAAGAGAAGAGATGTAAATTATTACAATATTAATCCTACAATATTAATCCTACAGTTTCTCCTTTATTGATTCTTTCCCCCATTTTAATCCTGTGCATTTTCCTAGAGGAGGTAAAGAGGGAAAAAGAGAGAGATAAAGATAAGGTGCACTTCATATCCTGAGGTCACTGTGAAAATGCAAGAGATGCAGCGTTTGCTCTTGATCGTTTCCAGTGTGTGTTTGCTGTGAGGTTTTGATATGTATGGATCCCTTCCCAAGCATGCAGAGTAGGAATCAATTAAAGGGATCAATGTTCAGGCTCTTGTAAAGCTTCTGGGATGTAATTTGCTTTGAAAGGGCAGGAGGAGAAAGATCCAGCAGTGGTTCCCAAACGTTGGTCCTCCAGATGTTTTGGACTTCAGCTCCCAGAATTCCTGACTGTTGGCCAAGCTGGCTGGGGCTTCTGGGAACTGAAGTCCAAAATACCTGGAGGACCAACATGATCTCTTGGATCAAAAGTTCCAGCTGTTGAACCATTCCCACCGGATACAAACACAG